AATTAAATTGCAATCGATACAAAACAAAGCAATATTTTCACAGACTCTAATTATTTAAAATTGTAGCTTTAAAAATAAAAAAATTAATATTAAATCTTGCACTTTATCGTAAAAACAGCTAAGAATTAATTGTGCATGAAATACACAAATTATAGGAGACATTTTAAACTTAATTAGTACAAAGTTAAAAAAATTTCAAAACACCTAACTGATTATAAGTTGCCTTGAATTTTGATTTCTGGATCGTCTATTAAATCGCGTTTATACATTTTAGAGTTTAATAGTTCAAGATGTTCTTTTGAGATTTTAAAATTGATTGCATTAATACTTTCAATTAGAAAATAAGATCGAATAAAACAAATCGCGTTAAGTAAATGAATTTTATTTTTAAAAAACTGATTATTTATTAATGAATCTTTTTAAAGTTACTTAATATTTCCAATGTATTTTTAGTTTAAGTCACAGCTTCATCATTCTTTTCTTAGTAATTAAATTATCCCTCAATTTGTTCTTGAAGAAAAAACGCGCCCTGATACTTACCGCAAGGTGGTGAGGAAAGAGTATCTGCTAATTTTAGTATTTTTATTGCGAATTTAATTACGGCTCTGATAATTCATATTAATAATAATAATAATAATAATAATAATAATAATAATAATNNNNAAAAATGTCATGGTCAGGAATCGAAGAGTATCCAGCTACGAGTCAAGCGAGCGCAAAACTCTTAGTCCGCTCGACCATCGAGAGATACGAGAAGCTATGGTCAAAAGTAGTATTTAAGTTGTGAGAAGTGGGCGGGGCTTAAGTTAAAGGCTAGATAGGGGGCTCCCCTACTCCTACCTGCCCGGTGAGAGAGAGAGCATGGTTCTTCTGCGCTTGCGCTACTAGCCAAGAGCACCCAAGAGAAGTCTTGGGTATATCTCAACACTGGGGCACAACTTGGCTTTCAGACACTTTAGCTTCTTTTTTTTTTAAGAAATTTTACTTGTTTTAAACACATTAAAAAGTTATGCGTTTGTTTCATAAGTGTCTTTTCTCTTAAAATTATTTTTTTTATTAGTAACTTTTACTTATATTTATCACAAGATCCTCTTAAAGTTGGGGTAACGATTGTGCCCCACCCTCCCTTATCACATCTGTGACATTCGAGATGGTATTGTCGTAATACCTTGCTACAGTTTATTTAAACACTATCAAATCATTCCTCAAAGTATTCATCGTAAAAGATGCAGATTTGATTATATGTTTAAGATATGTTGGTACATCTTTTCATAACGTTGATCATAGACAAACCCTGTTTGAATTGTCCTTACTAACCATGATTTGCAAAAATTGATGAGCCTATGAAAATGTATTGTTTGGAAAAAAAGGTGAGATTCCGTATTTCTAACAGCTGATGGAGTAGGCAGTGTCATGGGCGTTCTGGCAAATGGACTGAATGATGAGGATCGACGTGGTGCTAGCCCAGAGCTTGATTCAACCTCAGGACGGACCAACCATTTCGCTGGACTTGATGAAATTGATCCAAACGTCAGTTCCAGTATTGCTATGAATAGTATGAGCTCCGGAATGAGGACAAATACAAATGTCAGTGGAATGGTTGGGGTCGGGCAGCCAGGTCAATCAGGACTCTCAAGTCACTACGGGGGCAGTGTTATCAGCAGCATCGGTACTCTACCACGCAACGCTACATCCTATCGTCAGTATCCACCTGACCTGCTGGCCTTTTCGGGTGGTCGCAACTCTTCACCAACCTCGCAGGCCTCTACTGCCCCTGATAGCTCACGGCTGCCAAGTCAACAGCAGCAGCCGACACACCATTATCAGCAAGAGCAGACTCCCACTCTGATGCGACCTTTTGTCTCACCTTATAGCTCACCCTCATCACCACCGACCTCTTCCCTTCTTGGGTACTCGTCGACCGCAGCCTTTAAGACCCTACCTCATCCACCACGCTCTAGTTCTGTGACACCCTACAGCTACGGTCATCATCCAACGCATCAGTTGACGTACCTACCCAGCATGTCCAGGCACGGTGGCTACGGAACCATACCCAGGCGACCTCGAGCCCCCAGCTGGAGTAGCTGTCCACCCACCTCACCTACTGAGCGCGGTAAGTAGCATCTTTTTTTGCCTAACATGGTGGTATCTTTTTCGAGTCTCTCTTATATTTCAGTTGTTTGTTACAATATTTTTTCGATTTATTTGGTTATTTATTGAGTTGAGGGCCTGGTCAGAAGCACCTAGTCCTGCATGCCGTAATATAATGCTTAACTAATCATATAACCTTAATATTTACAATTGGCGTTTCCATTTAAAAGGATTTTATTAATCACTGACATGATGTTTATTTATTTATATTTTTATTATGATTCCATGCATACATTTTTCTATAATACTTTTTCCAGGATTGTAAAAACTTATTTTATTTGCTATTTGATAGCAGTATGTCCAATATTTCTTGACTACTATTTCATTACAGCTCAGTATAAGCTCCTACTTTTATACTTTAAACCAACTACAGAGATTTTAGATAGTGTTTTCTTCATATTAGGGATCTTGGTACTAATTATAAAATTGGCTTTTTTTTTTAAGTTTACACTATTAAAAATTAAAAGTACTAAGCATACTGAAAATTGTATAGAGAACTACTTTTATCAATGAGATTATTGCATTAAATTAGATAAAATAATTTTTACATAGCGATTGTAAGAAACAGCTACTTTGTTTTATATATAATTTTATATAAACGGCACGGTAAATAATAGGGCCGACTCAGAAAATAAGTAAAAAAGGAGCCAACTTAAATTTGGGATGAAAAAACAGCCAACTCAGATTTAGGTTAAAGAAGCAGCCAACTTGAGAGTAATTTTTTTTTTATCAAGTTTTGTTGTGGCAGGACTGACATTTACGTTATAAGTATACCTATCTAAGCGAACAGAGATTTTTCAGCCATCAAACATTTTAGACAAATTATGTTAGCGTGTTTAATGTATTGATAATACAAAAAAAGTTAAAAATTGCAATAACTGTTTATACTGAAGTTTAAAAAAAAATATTATTTGTAGTTTCCAAAAATTTTATCCAACATGACGTTTGAAAATGAAAAAAAATTTTTTTAAATTGTTTAGTTAACACTTAAACAGAATTCTGTCCTGGTAATTGATTGTACTTATCAAACTTATTTTTATTGTACATTATGGTTGCATGTATACTCATTTACGTAGCTAAAATTTTCTCTTCCTCCTATGATCACAGCAGACTAGCAGAATACACAATTAAACAAGTATAGTTTGCTCTATTACAACAACATAAATTATTATTCCGCCTTCTAACCTAAAAATAACACCTTCGCTGCTTGATTTTGGATTCTCAAGCGAAAAAATAGTCTCCTAGCTATTTTCTCAAATCAGTCGTCAGCTACTCATGTGTATATAGCTATAATTGACAATGTACTATACTCAGCTGACGAAAACCAAAACACTCGGATCATAACCTCAATACTCATGCAGTGTGGATATGCAGGTTGCAGAGTGTAACATTAATGATTGTAGCCAATAAGTAGTGATATACTTAATGGTTAAAAATAATTAAGTACTCAGTCTCTACACGTCTGAGTACTGAAAGCGATTCCGTGAGTATATGAATGGAGCTTATGTACTTGGTGACATACCTATAGTTTTGTTTTCAAGTAAATTTTTCACGTAAGTGAACTACCGTCACAGGAGCATAACATAAATATGATTCCCATAGTGCTGGTATAAAAGATTTTAACCTATATTTTTGATGTAATTGAATTTTGTATGTAATTAAATGACTTCTACAAGTGTATGAAGCTGAAACTAGCAGACAAATTCCAGCAGCGATACAACAAATTTTACTTTGGGTACCCTTAAAACTAAAATAGGCACCTTATTATTTTACTAAATTAGAAATGTACCTGGTCTAGTTTTAAGAGAACCCTAATTAAAATTTTTTATTTTACGATATCGCTGCCAGAATTTATCTGCTAGTTTCAGCTTCATCCACGGCTACTCCATACAATACCGGAGTCGCTATATATTGTTTTCTATCTCTCTTGCTCTTTATTTTCCTAGAATCCTTAGAACAACCAACGCATGAGCGTTCACAATGAATGACCGAACGATTGCGTGTTAATTTTATATAAAACTAAGCTACAAATGACTTTTTTTGGGTCGTAAGCTTCCCACCAGGTATAAAGAAAAATCGTATACACCACTCGGCAGAAGAATAGCACATCACTGTCCGCGTATTTGCCACCCTCGGCTTCACCTCGAGTGGCATTATACACGTGGACGGGAATGTACTTCTTTCCTGCCTCGTGAGATAATATACCATTTCTGAGATATTAGATGATTAAAAAATCTCTGTTTGGATAGGTATACCAATATTTTGAATGTCAGTGCTGCCACGACAAAACTTGATGAAAAAAAATTACACCCAAGTTGGCTACTTCTTAAACCCAAATCTGAGTTGGCTGCTTTATCAATCCAAATTTGATTTGTCTCCTTTTTCACTCATTTTCTGAGACGGCTCTGTCTTTTACCGAGCCAACGATATAAAGAAATAATTTTTTTTACAATCAAGTTATTAAAGAATAAAATTAAACATCAATTTTCTCCATATCGGGCGTAAAGTAAGGGCCTAAAGTACTTTTTGTCCTAACGTCATGGCCCAAAGTGGAACTTTTCTGCGCTTCGGGTGCAAAGTAAATACATTTTTCTAAGCATAGAAACTTATTTTTTTTTGTGATGTTAGAAAAGTAAAGTAAATTAAATGAATGTTAATAAATTTTTTTGTAACAGTGTGTAGCTGATGAGTATTGCCACATTATTTTTAGTGCGGAAAATTGAATTTCCCACACTGATTTTATGAAAAAAGTACAAAAAATGTTTTTGATGTGCAGCAAGCGTTATTTATTGTCTGGTGTGTGGTAAAAAATTTTTTACCACACCCCCGCCGAAAGACGACGTTCTTGAGTTCTTAGGTTATTATAACCCAATAATGTTCTTTGCTGATTTTTGGGATGAAATTGTAACATTTTTCCTAGGTAAGAACTCGCATTCTCTGCGTATAAAAAAGTGTTTTGCCACAATCTGCCTATTTACCACCCTCCTCTTATCCCTTGTGGCGTAATATACTTACCGTATACCGAAATTACAAAAATTTTAAACAAGCAGTGACTAGTGAATTATTAACACACAAATAGAAAATTATGGAATTCAATCAAAATAACGCGTAGAAACTGTGTTTTTAATTTTTAACTGTTGGTAAATCATAATCTGTTTATTTTAAACTTAATGTAATCAGACAGTTTCAAATCAAGATTTACTAATACATACAAAAAAAATATTACAATTTCCGTTGTTTAAGGCTGTATAATAATATATAACTAAATAAAATAAAGATTATTCAAATTGTCAAATAAATTTTTCCAAAAAAAAGATCTAAAATTTCAAAAATACATCCTCATAATTATAAGAAGTATTTCATTATTCATGTGCTTTATTGAATAAATTTTTCATAAGTTTCACTTTTCATGCAATAATATTTCAAAACAAAGTTGATGTTATAAGATAGTACCAAAAAATTGATTAAAAAGGTTTGACCTCAACTTTCGTCCTATGTCTGTAAAGTGAAGCTGTATAGATCAGCCATGTCTATAGGTAGTTGTATTATTTTTATTGCACGTACATGTAATGTAACTAGACAATAGGTAAGACAATAAAATAACGATAGCACAAATTTTTTTCTTATCCTTTTCTTTATTTTTGTGTACTCAAATTGATATCCCAACAATTACATACAAAACCTCAACCCAACGCCCGGATTGAAACTGCATACAAATCGAACAAATGCGTACCTTAACTTATTGAGATGTACGTACGTATAAAAATTTATCTGAAAGCTTCTCGCAGTTCTTGATGAGTTTAAACTTATCATGCGCATGGGCGAGTGGTGGTAAGAATCAAGTTCCAACGTATTACGGGCCTCGCAGAATACTGAGTTAAACGCTACCGCAAACGGTGCACCACCTCGAGTAAGAGTAGAATATAATATTATAAAGGCAGAACGGTCCACGGGCAATGCTAAACCTGCGGTAATGGCTCCTAGCTCGCTTGGATAAACTGGGTTTCTATACACTACCAGTTCTGTCGATCGTCTCTCGCGTATATTCCCCCGCAGAATTTAAGAGGCCGTTTTGGAATGACTATGGTCAACAGGGTAACGTTACCAGAAAGTCTCTTCCAGAGTTGTTATATTTTTGACAGAGTATCATAGAGATATGTCTAGCCCCCTAAAAATATCCCGAGTAAAAGCCCAAGAGACCTATTTTTCGATAGAATCCACGGCCGGAAAATTGCGACCGTCACATAATTTATTTACTTTTGATATACATATATAATTATGTTTGACAATCATAGAATTAATTTGAAAGAATTTCTATTGGATTTAATTTGAACTTCACACCAAAACACTAAGCAGGTATACATACAGTCACATGTTTCTATATATTTTGCAGAATTGAATATTGAGTTCATTTTATGAACAATCTTTACGTAGATTTACACATAAGAAAAATATTTAATCTAGATACATATTATAAGTTGATAATAAGTGTTACGTTACGATATTACTGTATATTCGGCTAAATATTAATTTCTTTTTTTTTAGAATCTTCCACAACTCCAGATTCTGAGCTCTATAGTGTCTAAATTTGTTTTGCATTGACGTAAGTTTGTAAGAACTATTTTTTATTTAAACTAAACTTAAATTATGATTTTTACGATGGCTTCTAATTCTATTCATCACAGATATAATAACTCACTTAGGTGCAACAATACAGCAAAACCAAAATTATCATTTTTTTAAAGCGTTTTTTAAGGAGGCTTGGGCAATTTCGAATAACATGCTGACTAGCTCTGAAATTAAGAGATTAAAGAATCTTTCAAAAAAGTATGGATCAACACGTTAAATTTTGAGAAAATAGCAAGGAAAACGTCGAACGTGAGAATTTTTTTGTTCAGGTACGACAGGTATTGTGAGTGCGCATGTGCCATAAAAGTTGCAACAGTGCATCAATAAGATGGC